TTGGTGATGTTTGTTCACTCATTGCATCATATTTGCTGATAATAATAGTGAATAAGTACCATAAAAACTATTGCTATTGTATTCATATTAGAGAACACCATAATATTACACAAGTATAATATTTTAATCTTGAAAGAATACCTTGGGGTTTGTTTGCAACCTGTATTGATAATTTGTTTCTTAATTACGACAGTTAATTGTGTATAAGATTTATTTTATTTAATACGCAAACTATTTCTAATTAATAAAGTAATCAACTTCAATTATAAATAAATAATTTACGAATTTGTGGACATTTTTGCTGTTATTAACACTGTTATCATAACATTTTGTGATAAGAAATTATAATCTAGTATCACATTTTATGGATACACCAATTTGCAATCATTTTAATAAATAATAGTTTGCAATATAATATAGACAATGTTGGCTACAAATAAAGTAAACAAAATATGCCAAATATGTGGTGACAATAAAGGAGTTGGTATGTATGAACTCTAATTTAAATGTAATTTAATTAAATAATTAACTGTGCCTGTTTATATTTAGGTAGAAACTTCTTTGCCATTACATGTAAACCGTGTAAAGAATTCTTTCGGAGGACTGCCGTCAAAAATACAGTAAAAAAAGATTGGAAATTAATTTAATAATTTTTAATATAAATAATTAATTATAAATTGATTGTATTTATAGCCACTCGAGTGTCCATCGGAAGGCAAATGTCATATAAATTCAGTGACGAGAAAGTTATGTCAAAAATGTCGATTAAAAAAATGTTTTGATATTGGAATGAAAAAAGTATTATAATAATAGCTCCTAATTTAGTTTTATTAAATTAATTAATAATATGTTTAACTAATATAGGAATTCATACGAAATGATGAGGAAAATAGGATACGAAAACAATTAATCCGAGAAAATAAACTCAAACAAAATGAATGCAATAAAAGCCACAATTCTGTGGACACTTCCAGTGATAACAAAAATAGTGAACTAGTTTTACACAAAGACTTTTTACACGATATAATTGCCAACACATTGGAGTTGAGTGATGAAGAACTGACGGATCAGATCTCAGAGGTTGAGAGTTATGTCACAAATTGTACAGAAATACAGAAATCTAGTCATGAAAATGAGTTATCATTGGATAGACTAATGGAGAAATCGCACACATTTGCCATCAAACCTGTATTCCGTGAACTCACTGAATCCGAGAAAATAAACTCAAACAAAATGAATGCAATGAAAGCGACAATTCTGTGGACACCTCCAGTGATAACAATAATAGTGAACTAGTTTTACACAAAGACTTTTTACACGATATAATTGCCAACACATTGGAGTTGAGTGATGAAGACCTGACGGATCAGATCTCAGAGATTGAGAGTTATGTCACAAATTGTACAGAAATACAGAAATCTAGTCATGAAAATGAGTTATCATTGGATAGACTAATGGAGAAATCGCACACATTTGTCATCAAACCTGTATTCCGTGAACTCACTGATTATAAAGGTTTAAATCAACTTGAATTCAGCCGGATATCCGAGTTGTTAAGCGCCACCACTATATTGAAGTCATCCACGACTAAGAATATTCTTGAAGTGAAAGATGATATTCAATTAAGACTTTGTATTTTACAGAGATTTGAGAAACAGATCTCAGATTTTATAAATTTCACACAAATGTTGAATTCATTCACAACCATCTGTTCCGACGATCAGTTTTCGCTCATCAAGAATGGCGCCATTGAAATGATCTTGCTCAGATTTTTCACATATTTCAATGAAAGCAATTATAGTTTTACTGTTCACTTGGTAATATTTATATACCTCGTAAATTAACATTTAATTAGACCTGTTTTGTAATTACCAGGATAATGACAGTACATTTGTGTTTAGTTTGGATTTACTTAAGAATAACAAAAGGAACATGTTCGATTTAAACTCAATGTTTTATACCAACTTGCTAACGGAGTGGGATCATGACCTTGTTGTTATTGATTTGGTATTTATTTATAATTTTAATTAATTAATTTAGTAATAATCATCATATTTTTCAACACTAGTTAACAGCAATCATACTGTTTAACCCAAACCGGCCTAACTTAAAGCACAGGCATTATGTCAAGTATAATACCTTTAGTATATAATTTGATTTAGCTTGGTATAATTAATGAATTATTTTTGTTTGATAGGCTGGAACAGCAACTGTATATATATTTATTACAACGATATCTGCTATTAAAACATAAATCCGATTCTGAATCGCAAACAAAATTACAGCGATTTATGAATTCCCTGAGAGAACTACAGGTCGCGAGTGAAGTCCATAAAGTGAATGAAATCGAGGATATGAAACCATATATCCATTCCTGTGGACCACTATATAAAGAGATCTATGACTTATAAACTAGATATTAAAATTATAGTTGCACAAAATTTTATTAAATTCATTCTACTAATAAACTTAAATGTAATTTGAGCAATCAAATTATATTATATTGGGTTGTTTTGAAAGGGAATTTTTACTATAACCTAAAGTTTTTATACAATTTGATAGTTTAGAAATTTAATTGATTTAATGAGTTTGATGTCTATTCTTATTAAACTTTTAATTTTATTTGTATTGTGTTGAGACATGTCATTGAAAACAGGTTTATGTGAACAAATACAGTGGTTATTCAGATTGAAAAGGTTTCAAGTCAAATTTCATTTTTACAATGAAATTTAAACCAAGAGTATTAATTTATTCATATTCTATTCTAAATACAGTACTAAATCATTTTAAATGTCTATATATTTTTGTAATTTTAATAAATATTTAATAAATTATTAATATTTTTCTACAAATTAAATGTTCAATTATAATATAATGTCGTATATAATGGATTAAACAGTAAACAATATTAATAGATAAGCAATAAAGACTTTGGTTACACTTTTATTATTAGTATTTTTATTTCGTATTCAGTATTACCTTTTCATATGTTTTAATTTTGATTTTCAAAATAATAATCCAATGATAAAATAAATACATATTAAATAACTTGATAAAATGAGTGACAAACAAAACGACAAATTCTGTGATATTTGCGGTGATAAAGCCTCAGGTATTAGAGTAATAATCTCCATGCTTAAATTAATTGTATCATTTAATATAGCCGACTTTGAAATTTTAATAATTAATTTATTCAAGGTAGACATTTTGGAGCCATTTCCTGTTTATCATGCAAACAATTCTTCAAACGGACTGCACCTACAAATAAAGTAATTTAAAATACAGTTTAATATTTATATTTAAAAATATGTAAAATTCAAATAGAAATATAAGTGTTACTCAAAAATTGATTGCAAATTAACACCAGTGGACAGGCTGTGCAAAAGGTGTCGACTTGACAAATGTTATGCATCAGGAATGAGAAAGGTAGTTTTGAAATATACTAATAGATTTAACAGAATATTCTGTGTATTCATAAGGAATTAATTTTAACGACTGATGAGAAACAGCGACTCAGACGCGGAAACAAATCAAATGAAGAAGGAATGAGAAAGGTAGTTTTGAAATATACTAATAGATTTAACAGAATATTCTGTGTATTCATAAGGAATTAATTTTAACGACTGGTGAAAAACAACGGCTCAGACGTGAAAACAAATCAAATGAAGATATTATGACAGATATTAACAAAAGTTATTTGGATTTCTCAGAAATTGAATCTTCGGATCAGTTTGTGACAGAAAATGAAGATTTTTTGAACAAAATATTTGATAATAATGTAACCACTGATGACTTGACTGCAGAAATCCACGAAATTGAGACATATTTGCAGCAAAACAATGACAACTCCGAAGATATCACCAAAACTAGGCCTCAAGAGTCGGCAATTGTGCCACTATTTCATCAAATAATTAAATCCAAAGACTTCAATGAGTTAGAGATCCATAGGATGTCGGAGCTGTTGAGCGCCGCCAACGTCTTCATCAGTGATCCCATCCATCCGTTCATCAGCGAAGAGATCACAGATTTGTATCAATTGATGGCATGTGTGCCACATATGGTGGACACCGAGAACCGGGCGATTGTCCGCTTTTCATCGCAATTGAGTTTACAGGACAGCCTACTCTGCAAAGACCTGACAATTCTGGTCAACTATGGATCAAATGACTTACGACTCTTGAGGTCGATATTGTACTTTAATTTTGATAACAACTACTGGTCAGTTAAAATGGTATCTATTTAATGATTAACCTAGGTACTAGCATAGATTAAATACCACTAATAATATTTGTATTATTTATAGCCCAATAATAAATATATTTATCTTAAAATGGATTTATTAAATATTATGAGCACTTATAAGAGACTTAAAATCCTATTTACAAATATCAACTCCGAATGGGACAAAGACCCTGCTATTATAGATTTGGTAATATAGAAATTTAATATCAATTAATTATAGCTAATAAATTATTTTAAAATTTTTGACAGATGACTGCAATTGTATTTTTTAACCCAAATCGACCCAAACTTGTACACAAAAAGGCAGTTAAGTAAGTGCACACACTTATACATAATTTATAAATTTATAATATAGTAATAAAATAATAATTTTTATAATTTTTATTATTGTATAGTGCTTATAAATTGACTACTTAATCAATAAAATTTAATAAAAAAATATTTTACACTTTTTATTATAGACTCCAACAATATATTTACATGTATTTACTTCAACGCTATCTACAGATAAAATATGGACCACTATCTGAGACAAAGTTTTCAAAACTCATGTCAACTGTAATTGAACTAGAAGTGTTAGGAACAACTATCAGGGACCTTTTGAACAGTATTAACATACAATATAAACCAATTAGATGAAATCTGTTAATTTACTGACAATGAGTACAGTAGTATA